TTTAAATATTTCTAAATTTTAGAAATTGATTAAAAGCAAATCAAAGAAAGAGGCGACAGATGCAGCTCGATCTCCTTTAATAGAGTATATTAAATGTGTTGATGGATTCTTCATCCCTATCCATAAAAATTCAAAAAAGAAACATGGAGCAAATGAAACTCGTCAAAATTCAGAAAACGGGAATACTCAATTTAAAGGACTTTTCCAGATGGACTCAAGTTCAAAGCCTTTGCCAATCTGTAAAAATTACAAAAATCTTCTTCATTCTTTAATGCTTACCAAACCGCTGTATTTGTCAGCTAAACTGCGAGAAGCTTTAAAGGCGAATGACGTGCATAGTTTATTAGAGATTATAACCACACAAAAGTTGGAGGAATTGATTTTGGCGTTGAAGATAATGAATGTGCTTAATCCGAAATTTAATTTAGTTAAAATAGACTTTAAAGGGGACAAAGTCAATTTTGATAAATTTTCAAAGAAGCAAGAAATTTTTGGTAAAAGCAAACTTGGACAGTTTTTGAAATGGCGCTTTGACCAGAATTGTAGTGAAAAACCTAGCTTTGATCAGGTAAAGGATGGAAATTAGGGTTGGTGACGTTTTGGCGCCGGGCCGTTTTGGCGCGAGAACAAAAATCTGGCACTTAGGCGAGACCTAACTTCATAAAAATTTTCTCAAATTTCTTAAACATCCTTGACTATCTCCTCCAGAAATTTCAGAATTTTTTATAAGATATTTCTGAAGATATAGTCGATAGACCTCGAAAAATTAGGCATTTTCCAGAAAATCAACATTTTTGGCCATAATTCTATGACTCTTGCTCAAAAATTCTGAAATTTTTGGAGAACATAGATAAAGGTACGAGAGTTATTTTTGCAAAGATTTATAATTTTTTATACCAACTCGCTATCTTATAAGCTCGCGCCAAAACGGCCCCGCGCCAAAACGGCCCAGTCCCTGGAAATCATTGTACACAACCGCGGATATTCGATTAAGGATGCAACAATTTGCTCCTAACATGGTGTTACGATAATTGCGCATGCGATAAGTTTCGACAACAAAACGGACGACAATTCCGGATGTGACAATTGCGGATTTTAAATTTTTAAAAATTTAAAAGGTTATTCGATCCTATTTTTTATCTAGGCTATCATTTTCCGACTTTTGACAGTTTTTGTATACTTTCTAGACTGATACGACACTGAAAACTAGGGTCGAGGCTTCGCTGAGGTCGAGGCCTCGCCGAGGAGCCGAGGAGCGAGGCTAAATATACACCCCTAAGAATGGGCTTTTTTGGATGAAATAGAAGAATTTTTGCTTATTGTCCTTCTAGATTCTCAAAATTTTCGCCTGCGGCGATAAAAGGATGAAATATGACTTCCGGGCCTACCAAAATTCTAAAAATTTTCGCCTGTGGCGCTGAAAAAGAAAAGAATTGTCGTAGCATCATGTCAGGAGCGTTTTAAATGCTAGTCAGCTGTCCATTATTCCTTAATTTAACAGCTCTACTTTAAATAAATATAGTAAAGCAGCTGGCTATAGCTATTTCTCTCCCTTAGCTAGAGCAAAAGTTATTCGGCGGCTGGGAGCGAACCAGCATCTTCAGTAGACCGGACTGATGTGTTAGCCATTACACCACGCCGCCTACTGCTCAGCCTTAGGAAATTAATAGCTATATGCTTTACAATATAATCCCTCCAATAGTCGACCCATCAAGTGTTTAATAAAATATTTTAATTATTTAGCCTACATTTTGGGGGCGTGTCTATAACCCCTTCAAATCGCTTCTATTTAATGGACAAAAATGTTTGGAGAAACCAAGTATAGTCGATTACATGGAATTATTGGAAAATAACGAAAAAATACACAATTTGTTAGTTTTTCGGTTGAAATGTTCATTGGAAGAATTTAAAAAAGCATCGCAAACAGACAAAAATGTTGTGGTAAATGAATTGATACACACATTAATGTTATCTAAACGGGTTGATGGAGAATGTGTAACTGATAAAATGGGGCCTAAAGATAAGAATGAACTTCTTAAAGCGATAAATAATCTTGAGTTGGAAGACATTGTCTTCAAATACGCTCTCAAACAGCTTTTAAATATAGGTGTGTTTTTGTTACTTTTGGATTATTTAGTAAAATTATTAGAGCTGTCCGAGACAAAATTTTTTCCAAGACCAAGACTCAAGGCCAAGACCAAAACTCCAAGACTCAAGACCAAAAATAATACAAGACTCGAGACAAAAAATCAATTTTATTTAGCTTAAAATAACTCGGACCACGGTACCATTTAGCGGAAATGATTCAAATTTCACAACTAAAGTAGGGTATGATGTACCTGTCCGTAAAATTTTATGCCGATGTCCCGCGGACACCCCAGGCACTCTCTTTTGTGAGGGATATCGGAGGATAGAGGGGATATCTCCAAATCAACAGATATCTCTCCAAATCTCATACCCCCGAAATCACGTAAAACGTGGTTTAAGCGCCGCAGGCGAAAATTTTCGAAAATCTGGTAGGACAAATCACCAGATTTCTTCACTTTTCTTCGCTGCAGGCGAAAATTTTGAGGATTTTGGAAGTCGAAGTAGTAGATTTCTTCCCTTATTTGCGCCGCAGGCGCAAATTTTGGAAAATATGGATGGACAAGACTCCAGATTTCCAAAAAGGCCAAAAAACCAAGACCAAAAAATAAAACCAAGACAAGACCAAGACAAACACCCCAAGACCAAGACCGAAAAAACCCAAGAAAAGTCTTGGTTCCAAGACCAAGAACAAGAGTCTCGGACAGCTCTAAAAATTATCAGGGCTTTTAGATGACAGAATTATTAGATATTTAAACGGGTATCCAGTTTGTGCCTAATAAAACATGGTAATTCAAAGTAGAACCGGTAATGCCGACTTCCACTTTATCCTTTCCTCAAGCTCAATAATAGTCAAAATTTCTTCATTCCCTAAACTTCTGTATATCTCTTTAATAATTATGCAGCTTGAATAATGAAATAATCGAGCGATAAAATCGGAATTAGCATAAAATTCTCCAGAATTGTTTAAAATTAAATTGGGAAAGGCTAAGCATACTTAAATTTTCTAAATTACAAAATTCGTTTTAGTTTATTTCATTTGATTTTTTAGAAAATGCTTCTCTAGTAATTGAATACTACAATTTTCTCCAAAATTACGGAACTAATCTTGAAATATTTACAAATATATTAAAAACGGATAAATTTAAAATTCAAATAAAAATTATCGAAAATAACGGGGATATAGAAATTAAATCGAAATTGTTTGATGCTTTAAAGGAAAAGAAAGGAAAGAGTTCTTTCTTAGTACATATTCTTGAAATAATAAATGAAAAGATAGTTGATGATATTTATTCGAGTTTTGACAAGTAAGCCGTATACCTAAAGTTGTTAAATTTACAATATTACACCTGAGAAAATTGTTCGACTGGGGATATGTTAGCAAAACTTGTTGAGAATAACTAAATAACTCATTACTGGATAGGCATAATTTCCTATTGTAAGGAAGAGAAAGAGAGATAAGATCCAGCTGGCTAGCATTTAAAACGCTCACTAGTTGGGGGTTTAAGAACTATTAAAAGTTAAGGTGAAAGCAGCGTCCCGGTAGCTCAGTTGGTAGAGCACCTGTACGTGGTGAGCGCCTAGCAATAACTGCCAGGAGGTCGCAGGATCGAAGCCTGCCCGGGATTAAACTTTTACCTCGCTCTTACTCTATTAATGGATTAGTCGGCCAATTTATATGCTCCGACTTGCTTTAAAGTTGCTTCTCAAGGCAAGTTAGTCTTCAAAAAAACGTAAATTCTTCTACTTTCGTTAACGCGGGCAACCATAAAAATAAAATATTATCAAAGGACACCCTCCCTTAGTTAAAATTTAAATTAAATTTTAAAACAGGCTGAAAACAAATAAAGGCTTCTCCTTTACAAGCTTAATTAAACACAGCTCGGCCGTTCAGGAAGATGAGATACTACAAAAAGGACTCATTCACTTCTTCGAGCCTTTAATTCAAGCAAAATATTATGCTCTAGCTTTAGCATTAAAGCAGATAGTAACGAAAGAAAGTGAAAAAGAGGAGGAAAGTATTTATGAAAATCTACACAGTATTAAATTAAACATTTCTGAAGAGGATATGAGCAAAATTAGTTTAATCGAAAATAATTTTGTTTTGATTGAGAAGTCATTGAAGGATTTGTCTGGGGATTTATTTGAGAAATGCAATGGAATGATTTTACAAAAGCTTGGGTATAACAAAGCCAAGTTTGTTTCACAACTTGTAGAAGAAATGAGCAAAATCATGTGGAATTTGGATTTTAAATGTATGTTCTTTTTTATTTGAGAAAAAATATCTGGGGACCCACAATCTCCCACATATTATACTTTCACGATATTTCTATTATTCCATTAATCCCATTTAATACTATTAGCTAACTTCAAGTAAATTATTCCCGAGATCCTATCCGAATCGGACATTATTCAATATGTATTAAATAAAAATTTCGGTTCCAGATCCGGATATTCGAAATATTTAGTACGGCTTCATGATCCGGATCAAGATATCCTGGGATTTTCTAGGATACAATTACTAGGGATCGGATTTATATTTAAATAAATCACTGAAGCGGCCCTGCCCGCTAACTGACCACTGTCTCTCCATTTTTTTATTACATCTATCACTGGTTATTTCTGTCTTTCTTCTATTAGAACTCAATGGTCAGACACTGGTCAGTTAAGGCTTGTTCATGACCAAGGTCGTTTTTGTGCCCTATTTAAATATAAATCCGATCCCTAACAATTACGAAAAAAAATTTAAAAGAATTTAAAATTAAGTCTTAAATGGGGTTTTCCTACTATAATAAGTTGAGGAAGAAAAAGTAAAATGTTAACTTTAATTTACAGTGAGTGGCGATACAAGTGACCAATTCATACCCAGTTACTTTGACTTTCGAGCAGTTCAAATCTCTCGAAATGGAGGGAAAGGGACTCTAGCTGAGCGACTGATTGAGAAAATTTTTAATTATGCTACAAGTCCATTCGATTGGTTAGGAAAGAAGGCGGCTAACAGCAAAAATGGAGTATTTCAAAGAGTCTATGGCCAACTGAATTCAACGATTCAAGTCTTCCGTTCCTTTGTATTTAGAAAAACACCCATTGAAAATATGTTTGTTCAACTTTATTATCACGAGAAAATACGTGGGAAAAAATTGAAGGGGAAAGTTTTAAAAATAATTGGCAATTTTCAAAAGGATTTGAGGGAGGAAAAGACTTGGAGGGAAATCAAAAAAGATTTTGGGGAATTAATGAAAGAAATTGAAATTTTAGTGAAGGTTTTGACCTTAAAAGAGGAGAAACCTAAAAATATAGAGAAAATGCTGAAACAGATGGTAGGTGAAAAGGAGCAATTAAAAGGAAAGGAGGAGAAGGATTACAGCTTTGATTCTACTAACTTTTTTGAGGAGATCATTAAAGGGCTCAAGCAAGTAACGAATATATCTAAAAGGAATCTGAACGAGAAGGAAAATGTTGAGTGGACTGATATTAGAAGCTGTACTATTACGAAGTTTCGAGTGAGTCTAGATTTAATTCGAAACTCATCTTTAATGTAAGGATGATTCACTCAGCAGCATTTAAAACGCTTAGGCGGGGGTTAAACGATCTAAAAAAGAAAAAGAGAAAGCATTAGTCGATGCCCGGTAGCTCAGAGGTAGAGCTTCTGCATATTTTGAGCGAAAGCGCCTAGCAACAACTAGCAGGTGGTCGCAGGTTCGAATCCTGCCCGGTGGCTAAACTTTTGCAAACTCTTTCTTAAACTATCTTGTTAAAGATTTGTAAACAATAAAGCATTATCATTCAACTATTTTCAGACATTTTCTACGCAAGAATCAACAACGGGGCTCCGTACTAAGCGTGAGGACCCCGTCTTTTTATACCATGACAGACGCTATTCTGTTAGAACCAGCAATGTCTGGAATTATATTGGTTGGTATTTGATCTTTGGATTTTTCTTGTGGGCAGGATCATCAGTCGGTGTCTTAAGAATTGTGGCTGCATTAAATCCTCATTGTCCAGTGCCAGTTATTCATTTATCAGAAATGCATATGCCTGAGATGCATTTGCCTGGAATGCATATGCCAGCAGTCTTTCGTAGACGACAAGACTCTCCCAATATTCCTCAACATATCGAATTCCAACCGCAACATCCTCCACATACACAATTCCAACCGCAACCAAGTAATCCTAATCGTGCCGATGTTGAAATGGGAACTGTTTGGGGTATCCCTGTTCTTCCGCAACAAATTGGACATCCAATAGGACAGATTCATCCTGCTCAACAATATCAATATCGCCACCGTCGTAATGTGAAAGAAGCGCAGAAAGGTTGGTATTTATTTAAGAATAAAGTATGGCCTTAATTGGAAGAAGATGAAAGATCCTGGCAAGTAGGGTTGCCGTTTTCGAGTCGGGCCGACGGTCGAGGCATTTTTTGGGGTTGTTTTTATCGTGTAGGGCCGGTACGAGTCACTTTCGGGCCAAACATCTAGACCCGACTCGATCTTTCGGTCCGAGTCGGTCCATTTTTGGTAACCCTGCTAGCAAGTATTTCAACGCCTACTAAAGTGGAATTAAGTAGTTCTTTTAATATAAGGCAAAAACTCAATCGGAGTAAAAGGCCATTAATTTTTTGCCTACTTTGCCTTATCCTACCTCATCTTCTTTATTTCTCACTTATTAGGGATGTGCGCAAAATTTTTGCTTAGTGCGCCTTTTGTTGGGATTAAGGCCGATATCTCGGGTTTGGGAGGATTAACAGAGATATTAAGTTACTTTGTTGGATTAAGATGTAGATCAGCCGATTTGGAGGGATATCAGTGAATTTTTATCACTTTATATCATCACTTTTAATCATTTTTTATCAATACTGACCGATTGTCCACTGACGCATTTTCCACTGACGCATTGTCCGGGAGCCTTTTCTCCTAAGGCTTTCCAAAATTCTAGAGTTGGGCTAGAGTTAACAAGGCCCAAAAAATACATTAAAAACTTCCAAACATCGATCAGAAAAATTAAAAAATATATTTTAGAATGTCTCTTGAATGGAGGAACATGCCCAAATTCGGTTTTTATTAGTTTTCATAAAGACGATCACGAAAATTCATTGTCTTCTGTGAATAAAAACGAATGCTTCAAAAGCTTTGGCGATCAGAAAATTCGAAAGAAACGAGACGTTTTTGAGATTGAATGGGTTGAATGTGGCAATCTTATTTTCATGTTTTGGACTGTTGGAGTTTTTGTTGCATGGGTTGTAGGTGCAGTTTTTATTGGTATTCATTACTTCTAAATGGGAAGGTTGATTTGGTAGTGCGAAACTTGCGGAGCGACTTTTGCGGACCATAGGTTTAGGTTTTGTTTTTCTATCGTAACTTTGTCCAAGCTTGTACAATCACGAAGATTTTGATGTCATTCGACTCAGCTCGTCGAGTTCTTTCGGATGAGCTATGTTTTGAGAAGGGTCCGCATGTTTCGGTCCGCAAAAGTCGGTCCGCGAGTTTCGGCCTGCCGTTGATTTATGTTAAGCATTTCTAAATCTTTTATTATATTTTACCCATTATTTTTGGTAATTTTGAACTTTGTGGCATTTGTATTGCCACCCAATTCCCCCACCAATTCCCCTTTGCCCCTCCGAACATCCTATTATGTATTTTCTTAGGGTTACTAACATATAATTTTGACATTTAAGAAAATTCTTTTACCAGTCTATTCAAACCCAATTTTTGTGTCACTGTACTCCTCATTACCAACTATCATAACCCATACCCAATTATAAGCGTATATTTTTTTCCATAAAATTTCACCATAAAATTATTACTCGCATTATATTGTAAAGCATATAGCTATTAATTTCCTAAGGCTGTGCAGTAGGCGGCGTGGTGTAATGGCTAACACATCAGTCCGGTCTACTGAAGATGCTGGTTCGCTCCCAGCCGCCGATTAACCTTTTGCACTAGCTAAAGGAGAGAAATAGCTATAGCCCAGCTGCTTTACTATATATATGATTTTATTTTTTAACTATAAAACTAGTACAGTCGGACCTTACTTAATGATATTTCTTTATAGCTAAAAAAACTGTAATCTGTATTGAGCTGTATCTAAAAAAGAGGCTTATGCAACTCCCAACAGTACCAAAAAAGTGTTGAAAATTTATCTTAACCTTACATGTACCTAATATTGGGCGTTTCTTAGAGTGGGGTCCGACTGTATATAACGAAATTCATTTTTTATACACTTTTAATTAGGAATGTTGCATATGCGGGACTGAGCCATTAGGGCGCGGGGCCATTACGGCGCGAGCTTATAAAAAGTGAGTTTCTTATCAAAAAAGAAAAATTTCGCAATAATAACTCTCATGCCTTTATCTACGTTCTCCAAAAATTTCATAAATTTCGGTTTCGCCTAAGTGTCAGTTTCTAGTGCTGGCGCCCTAATGGCCCCGCGCCCTTATGACCCCAACCCGCATATGCCGATTTTGTTTTCATCTCTTTAAAAGTCGGTTTGCAACATTTCTGATATCAATTTTGGGTACTTTATGGATATGTCACCCCCACCCCTCCTATTTTGAGTCTCAGAGTTTTCCTTAAACGTAGAAAATGGGCAGAGATTATTTTCTTCTCCATATTAATCATTTTTATAAAATACTTGAAAAAGAAAAATATGATTGACACGGAGAAGAAAATAATCTCTGACCATTTTCTATGTATAAGAAAAACTCTGAGACTTAAAATAGGAGGGGGTGACATATTGTAGTATTATTCAGACCTGGTCATGGATACGGATATGGATACAAATAATACCAAAATTGCGGATATCCGCCTGTATCCGTCTGTATACACCGTAAATATCCGGATACCAAAATCAGTATCCGTGACCAGGTCTGGTATTATTATTTAACTTTAACTGATATTTAACTATTATTTTTATCCAAGTTTTGCATAAATTATTTCGGGTATTTCAATTTTTATACATATTTATAAAGAAAATTAGATTTATCTTTGGCAAAAGCTAAAATCGCTATCTTCCTTCCTATTTATAGACTTTAATACAGAAAAACTAACTCGAATTACAATAGAATTTCGCGGAATCTTGGTAGAATAAGTGGTATTTAGGGGATTTAAAAGAATAATGAGGAGTTAACCTCCAATTTCCTTCAAGTATCCTTATGACACCCTTAATTCATTCGAATCCCGAGATATCTTCCTTAATTACCAATATTCATTCAAATTCCCCATAATCCCCTTAAATTCCCTCCAAATATACATTTTATTCTACTAACCCCTGATATCCCTCCAAATCCAACCCTCCATCTCCCACAAGCTCCAATTAATTTCCTCAATTCCCCTTAATTCCAATTAATCCGTCCACTCTCCTTGATTTATCTGTATTCATCGCCATCCCCTTCGTTCCTTCGATATCCGACTAAATCCACTGCGCTAAATGATCAAAGTTTCTAGGTATTTGATCATATAATTTTATTCTCCAATCCATTACCCATCAAATTTCATAACCTTGGATTTGAAAATTTTTTTCATATCTATAAATTTATTTGAGATCCGCCTACTGGCTCTGAATCAAAAGGAATATATTAATCTAAAAAATATCATATAAAAGATAAGATATGATAAAAAATGCAGGTGGTCGTATAATTTACGGACGCACTCTATTATACGCTTTTGGTGAATTGTCTATTGGTGAATTACCCCGTTTGGTGAACTGTCTTTTGGTGAATTACCCCGTTTGGTGAATTGTCTTTTGGTGAACTGTCCTTTGGTGAACTGTCTTTTGGTGAACTGTCCTTTGGTGAACTGTCTTTTGGTGAACTGTCTTGACACGACAGACCATACAATACCCAATTTTAAAAATCTCGGTTATCCTCCGTTCTCTACCTCGATCTCGGTTCCAAATCTGCCCCTCGATCTCGGCTTTCCCAGCCTCGGTGACTTCTTTCAATATTTTTTAAAATTAATAGATATTTATAACTAAAATAATAAAAAATTATATATTATAAAATTTACTAAAAAGAAAGGAAAAAAAAATTGCTGAGATTTTCATTTGATTAAATGACATGAAAATTAGTTTATTATACAATATAAATTTTGAAATAGAAATTGCTGGTTCTTTTCCTCTGTGTTCTTTTTTCATGTCGAGATAAAAAAAAGGAAAAAAATAATCCTTTTATGATAACTTGCGGACTTTTGGGAACATTAAGGAAAAGAGCCTGGTACTTTCTCATTAGCTGCCACTATAATATTTTTGTTCCGTTTACTTTTTCCTCTTCAAAAAGGGTCTGGAGACAAGAAGGGAAAAAATTTAAATTTTCTAATTAAAATTAAATTCAAAAAAGGTGTAAAGTATATAGCTATTAATTTCCTAAGGCTGAGCAGTAGGCGGCGGTGTGTAATGGCTACACATCAGTCCGGTCTACTGAAGATGCTGGTTAGCTCCCAGCCGCCGAATAACCTTTTGCACTAGCTAAAGGAGAGAAATAGCTATAGCCCAGCTGCTTTACTAAGGTCTGGTCAACGTGGGCCTAAAGGTCTAAGTAATAGTATTTGTAACAGGTTTACTTATTTCTAAAACCTTTAAAGGAATAGAGAGCCCTATGTTCAGTCTAGAGTTGAAATACTCACGCATAATACCTGAACATAATACGGTTCTAAAAACCAGAGATGGTACATATCTCCATGGATTACTTTACCCATGTGTACTTTTTTAAAAAGGAATATGAAGAATAATAATATAATTGCAGCTAATGTAGTACCAAGTAGAGTTGGGCAAGATCGGGACAGGAATCGGGATCATTATGTATTCCAAAATCCCGATCCCGATTTTTACGTCAGGATCCCGATCCCGCCCAACTCTAGTACCAATAATCGTAAAAAAGAGGCAGGCCGAAACTTGCGGACTGACTTTTGCGGACCGAAACTTGCGGACCCGACGAATTTCTCAAAACATAGCTCATTCGAAAGAGCTCGACGAGCTGAGTCGAATGACATCAAAATCATCGTGATTGTACAAGCTTGGACAAAGTTACGATAGAAAAACAAAACCTAAACCTATGGTCCGCAAAAGTCGGTCCGCAAGTTTCGCATACCAAAAAAGAAATATTTTTAAAAATCTGATTATATACTCATCACACCTTTAAATTAAAATTTGATAAAAAAATATTCTGATTTTTAAAAATTTATTTATACAGGGCAAGAGTTGATTGTCTCATTCATTTAATGCTTCGACTTTTTCGACTCTTGTTGTGAATTAAACTGGTCATTGGTCGAAAGAGTCTGAGACAACGTTTAAAATCCTCATTTCGAAAACATCCGGACCTAATTTTAAATATATTTTTTTTAGAATTTTTTCTATTGAAGTATACCTGCAATCTGCTCTCATATTCGGCCTTTGATGACTGTACATGTCATGGCAAAGTTCGCATATTCGATCCATTAATGCTAAAAAAGCTTTTTTGAAATAATACTAAAATTATATTTGGATTAGATAGTGATCATATAGGACCCTCATTTTATATAGGTCCCTCCCCCCACATCCACTAGAAATCTATTAGTTACGGTATGGGTTTGGAGTAGTGACCGGGGCCGGACCGGATCCGGCCGGATTTTTCCGGAGTCCGGGTCCCAAATCCGGGTTTTTTAAAATTTCCGGATTAAAACCGGACCGGATTAATCCGGAGAAATCCGGCCGGATCCGGTCCGGCTCTAGTTGCAAATCCGGTTCCGGAAAAATCGATTTTACCGGTCACTAGTTTGGAGGGTTGTTAGTCTATCCGGAGCTGAGTAAGAATTTAATAGTTCATACATTAACGTTTTTGAAAAATTTGTACATATTATACTTATGTCTAAGCGTTTTAAATCCTCGCGAGTTGAATCTTTGGTCTCCCATCCCCCCATAATTCAAATTATAATGCCCACATAAAGGCAAAAGAAATTTCCAATCCTTTTTAATTACATCCGGAACTCACGGAACACACATCCGGAACTCACTCATACATCCGGTACTCACAACTTCACGGAATTCAATATCCGGAACTCACTATAGAACTCACTCCGGAACTCACTCACTATCCGGAACTCACTACATCCGGAACTCAAACCCCCTCTAATCTCAAAAGGCGACACTAATGAGGTTCAACCGTATTCTACATATAAACTAACCATGCAACTGTTCATTCTCGTAAATATCGCAAGTTTCAATAATTTCAATGCTTTCCTTATTATTTTCCTGTTCTGCCTCATCCTCCGTATTTTCTTCTTCAGAAAAAATAATTTTCCCCAAATTTAAATTTGTTCCTTCAATTTTTTGGCTGCGCCGTTCAATATAGTGATGTACCCTTTGAAAGGTTGCCGATTCGCTTACTATAATTGTTGCGAAAAGAATAAAAAATGTTTCAAACAAAATTGTTTTGGGACTTTGCCTATTCGTTTTATTACTCCTTTTTCTTAATTTTTTTGTTTTTGTTGTGTTTTGAATAAATTGAGAATATTTTTGTGTTAATGTATTTTTTGCTGTTTGGAACATTTTAACTATTACTTGTCTGAAATTAAAGGAGAAAAAGTTTAATATAGGTATATTAAATCCGGAAAGTTGTATAATTTCCGGAATATAAAAATTCTTTACCTAAACAGAGTTATACTTTCCGGAAGGTTTAATATATATTAAATCCGGAAAGTTGTATAATTTCCGGAATACAAAAATTCTTTACTTAATCAGAGTTATACTTTCCGGAAGGTTAATATATCTTTCCGGAATACTCCGGAATAAATATAAAATTTTTTTCCGGAAAATATTTCTTTTCCGGAATAAATATAAAATTTTTTTATCTAAACAGAGTTATACTTTCCGGAAGGTTTAATATTTCTTTCTGGAATACTAATTTATTTTTTCCGGAATGTATTTACGGAAAAAGTTTAAATAATTTTCCGGATTTATTATATAATACAATGTTATTATATTGTATTATTATATTTATATTTCCGGAAAGTTTAATTACTTGAAAGAGTTAAAAAATCCGGAAAGTTTAATAATAGGCTATTATCATATAACGTATAAACTGTATTAATGCCCCTTCCTTAAATAATTATCCCGACTCTATTAATTACCTACTACAGCGAGAGATCGAAATAATTACTCTTGGTACTTAATGAGGTTTTTACTAAAAATATAAATAATTTTCAGGATTCTACAAACAATATAGGCTATTAATATAGTTATATTTTCGGAAAGTCTAAGTAATTTTTTGAAATATAGTTATGCAATCCGGAAAGTTTAATAATACTTTTAAAGTGTTCTAAGTGAAAAATCAAAATTTACAGTAATCCATAAGGGCTCGGAAATATTTTTTAAAGAGGCTTACCCCTGTTTTACGTTGATTTTCGAGGTATCAGGATCTCGTCTTAGGATAAAGATATTGGCCTAGTTTCTTTTTATCTTTTTATAATATGAGTATATGTATAAGTTTGCTGGAATTTTAGATTTTTCCTAATGTTGGAAATAATTTTTTGGGAAGTGGAACTATAGTTATGTGGAGGTGTTTTCCAACAAAATATTTAAAACACTAGTAATTTTAATACCAAAATTAAATTTTGATTTTTTATTTGTCTTTTATGTACCTGAGGACAATATTTAAACGAAAATTTAAAAAATTTTTGGTGTCTAAATGGAAAAAACACGAAAATATTACTTACTAATATACTCATTCTTATAAAAAAAATAAAAATTTAATCCTAAAACATGTTTTAATCCGGAAAGTTTACTATGATGTAGCATTTTAAAGCTCTAAAAAATAGTAAGGGAAAAGGGGGTGTTAAGTATTAAATGGAACGGAAAAAAAGGATTTTTTTACGTTAAAAATGATGTTGCCTGTAAAATGAACTTTTTTTTTGGTATTTTTTAACATTTAAACTTTTAAGTATTTTTAAGAATGTTTAATGTACTTTTAATGGGACTGAGCCGTGATGGCGCGGGGGTGTTTGGCGCGAGCTTATAAAACAGAGTAATGCTTTTCTACATATAAGGAATAAATTGGTAATTTTCCGTTAACGCAAATCCTTTGCTCGTACTGTAGCCAGTTGCCGGTTTATACCTTTTTTATAACCCCCCCCCCCTATATACCCCCTCCCCTATATACCCCCCCCCCCCCTATATACCCCCCCTATATACCCCCCCCCTATATACCCCCCCCCTATATACCCCCCCCTATATACCCCCCCCCTATATACCCCCCCCTATATACCCCCCCCCCCTATATACCCCCCCTATATACCCCCCCCCCCCTATATACCCCCCCCTATATACCCCCCCCCCCCCTATATACCCCCCCTATATACCCCCCCCCTATATACCCCCCCTATACCTAATTCGATTCGTCTCATCGGTGTAAGTTTAATGATACCACTCTCTATATTCGGAAATGCTTGCGGACCGAGATATAAAAAATGTGCCTACTACCATAGGGGGAGTAGGCAAATTTTTGGTGTCAAAAATTCAAATAGGTAAATTACAAATCACACCTTCTCCAAAAAAACTCTTCGAGATGAGTCGAAATAATTCTGAACGAAATCACATTCAAATGAACCCTCGCTATCAAAAAATTACGGGCATTTAACGGAAAATTACCAATGAATTTTGCTATAATAACCTTAGTATTTTTTTTCATGAAGTTAGGTTTCACTTAAGTGTTAGTTTTGAGAAGTTTTATTATTACAAAAAGTATCATCTTTAAAAAATAATGTTCCAAAGTTAACTTTCAGACGTCAAAATGACCCCCAACCCGTTTTATGCAGTTTTTATTAATAAAAAAATTAATTAAAAAATTTTTTTTAAACATGATACTATTTGTACTTAATAATTTTAAAGTGAGGATTAAACAAAAATATTATTTAACCTCTTAAAAATATATAATCATAATAAAATTGACGTTGTTTGGACTTGTGAATGAACTTAATATTTTTTTAAATGTAGAGGATATGTTATTTTGTTAAAATATTTATATGGCTTCTGTTTGTTACAAAATTAAAAAAAATAATGAGAACAATTAAAAATGTTTTTTTAATTATTAAAAATAAAAAAAAAATAAAAGATATGGGGTATTGCAACGGTGTATATTACATGTATTTACTCGATTAATTCCCCTCCGCGAATAATTCCCCACCCCCTTTTAATTCCCCATGCCACGGATGGGTTGAAAAAATAATTCCTCGGGGGAATTAATCGAGTAAATACGATAGATGGATTTGTTGGTTGGATTAAGAGAGAAGTCAGTAGATTTGATGGGATATCAGTGAATTTTTATTTCTTTATATCATCACTAGGGAGAAACATGCAAATGCATATTTTGTATGCGGATATGCCATGAGCTAAGACGCTCAAAAATGGTGTTTTTACGTCAGTACGAACATTAGGGACCCGGTTCCAATAGCATATTTGTGCATATTTCGGTACTTTAGTGCATATTTGCATATCTGTGCATATTTTAAGAAATTTTGCATATTTTTACCGAAATTTGTTAGTATTTTTTAGTATCTAATCATCACTTTTAATCACTTTATATCAATACTGACCGATTGTCCGGGAGTCGGAAAGTTATTATTATGAAATCCGGAGAGGTAGGTAGTATTTTTTAAAGCGAGTTATACCAGCCGGTAAGTTATTTAACGATTCTAAAATTTCATAAAAACTCTCTACTAGACGTAAATTCACCCTAAAAACATTTATTTGGCAAAAATATACGTTTTTAAAATTATTGGAGCATAAAATTGCACCAACATTTATTTTCGTCATTTATATTTAAAATATTATTTTTATGGATATTTTTGCCTATTAAATTGGTTATTAGACGGAAATAGCCGAGAAAAACGTGAAAAGACTAAAAGAGGCGCTAAAATGGGGGACTTGGCCATTTTGGCGCGGGGCTGTTTTGGCGCGAGCTTATAAGATAGCGAGTTCGTTATCAAAAATGATAAAATTTTGTAATAATAACTCTCGTACCTTTATCTACGTTCTCCAAAAATTTCAAAATTTTTGATCAAGAATTTCGGAAATTGTGGCCAAAAATGTTGATTTTCTGAAAAATGCCTAATTTTTCTAGTCTATCGACTATAACTTCGGAAATATTCGATGAAAAATTCTGAAATTTCTGGAGGAGGTAGTTAAGGATGTTAAAGAAATTTGAGAAAAATTTTATAAATTTAGGTCTCACCTAAGTGCCACTTTTTTGTTCTCGCGCCAAAACGGCCCGGCGCCGAAACGACCTAAACCCTGTCGAAATGAGAGAAAAATTAATATTTTCCCCCATTTTAACTAATTTTCTGAGAAAAGACTGTGGACTCTTCTCTCTAATTTTGGTTATTATTTAAGGGGATGATAAATTTATTTTTTTTAATTTTTAAAAGGAAATTTCCGGAAACACTTTGTTTCTTTTTTAATTTTTTTGAAACGGATGCATCCCTCCAACCTTTCGTTATTTTTAGATGTCTCTTCTCGCTTTCCACGCCCTCCTTATTTTTTTTAATTTTCTTGCACCATATTTCCGACAATTCAACATTGTCGTTCAAAGATTAATAATAATTTAATTTTTAATTATTATTTTTAAAAAGATGGTTAATAAGTAGAGACCGGATATTTATGCATTAAAAATGCAAAATATGCAGTAAAATATGCATTATGCAGCAAAGTCCGGAATATGCAAAAATATGCATTATATGCATATAGAAACCCCCTCTAGAGTTTTCAAAACATGCGGAAACAGTGTTTTTTGTGCATTATACATCATGTCAAGTTTGCAAAAAAATATGCATTTGCATAAAAATCCGGTCTCTATTAATAAGGGTTGAGGTTGTGTGGGCGCTTGGAAGTTTGAGCGTGCCTCTCTAAACTGAAGCGTAGCTTAAACCTAAATGTCTAAAAATCTTCTTAAATGACTTGTATGTTCTTGGCTGATTCATCCAAAAATTTCAGAATTTTTCATCAAATATTTCGAAAAATTAGTGAGCCAATTTTTAGGGGAATCGATGTTATTTTGAACAGAATTTCTGAACCCCCTACACCCCCCCTACCCCCTACATAAAGATGGTCATTTAACTATCAATTAATAATTTATCAAAAATTTTTAAAAAAGGGCATCGCCATTAAAAATTAAAAAAATATAGAGGAAAGACCGTTAAAAAATTTTTTATTAAACAAAAAAATTAAAAAAAAGAAAAAGTGTAAAAATTTATTTAACGGAAAGGCAAACAACGAGAGTGATAAATGTCCCCATGTTTTTTAGTCTAAAAAAGCAAAGGAAACACAAAAAGGTACAAAATTTAGTCTTGCAAGAAAATGCAAAATTTGCAGAAAAATAAATAAAAATTGTGTAAAATAAATAAATAAATTTATTTATTATTTTTAAAGAATGAGAGAAAAATAGCCAATTAATTATAAGTAATATTATGAGAATAAAAAATTATAAAGAATTTTTTAAAGCATTAGCAAACTATAAGCTACAAGAATATAAACTTGTTTATATTTTTACACAAGCTATAATTTATTAATAAATTAAGCTGTGATTGTTCCGGTTAAAACAAAAAATTCTAAAAATATTTTTATTATTGGTCTTTCCCTATTTTTTTCTAGCAAAATTTCAGCTATTTTTGTTTCTATTTTTTGAGCCAAAAAATTTTAATTTTTTATGCAACAAACACAAAATTTTTAAATGTTCGGAATCAGGTCAAAAAAGGTAGAATTCTGCGGTGAAGCTTCGAATGTGTTTTTAGATAACACAAAGACTATATAACTCTAGTTTAAGATTTATGTTTTTAATAGATTCTGTGATTAGTAGAAGAATAGCCATAAGCAATACACCAATTTAAAACTCTTGTTTTAAGAATTTTTACTATCAACGTATATTTAAAGTGAAATTCGACTACATTTTTTATCTAATACGAACCAAAAAATATAAATACTGTATAAATACCGTCCTATAAAATAGTATTCAGTTAATTACTCCTATTCCTATCTGTATGTACTACATGTGTTAAAATGTTCTCCTTTTCTTTTTTATAGTCAAAATAGTCAAATTAAAGATAAAATATTTTTAAATATTTTTATAATTTTTTACGATTCTTTAAAGTCCAAAAATTAATCAAAAGACTCGAAAAAAGCCACTCAAAAAATTTACTTTTAATAAAAATAAATATTAAAAAATTACATAATTGCGAATAAAAAAAATAAAAACCTGAAAAATAAATTTTAAAATAAAAGGCAACACATTTAAAAAATAGAAAGCAAAAAGGCAAGAGAGATTATAATAATTTGAAGTGAAAATAATTTTATGCGGCAAAAAAATTTTTTGGAAAAAAAGTTTTTGAAGAATAAATTAATAAAATACAATAGAAGAAAATGTTAAGGGAATATTAACAAAAACCGGAAGATTTTTGTATAATTTAATTGTTAAATAGAAAATATATGCACAAAGGTATTGCTAAATGAATGAGAATTATTAATTATATTAGTCATTTTACAATATGTAATAAATATTCCGGAAATTATAAACTATTTCCGGAAATTATAACTTTTCCGGAAATTATAACTTTTCCGGAAACTATAAAAATATAAATTATTAAATAATATTTCTTGAAGAAATAAACTTTCCGGAAATGTAATATATTTTTCTTTTTATTTAAATTATAAATATAACTTTATATTTCCGGAAAGTTATATTTTTAATAAAATAAACTTTCCGGAAAATTATACTAGTTTCCGGAAAGTTTTATTTTTTAAATTAAACTTTCGGAAAATTATGTCAGTTCCGGAAAGTTTTGTTTTTACTTCAAAAAAATAATCTGAGAATTATATTACTCATCCGGAAAGTTTTATATTAAATAATTAGTATTCTTCCGGAATTATATAATTTTCCGGAATTATCTGTGAAATTATATTTTTGATGGATTAATTTCTCCGGAAAATATATCCACATATTAGTCTTCCGGAAAGTTCTGATTTTAATAAAATAGTATACATATTATATTCCGGAAATATATAATGTATGCATGTATAAAATAAATAAACCTAATTCTTGTTATGAACCAGAGGTGGGTCGGAATTCCGATTTCCGACTTCCGACGTTTTTTTCCTTCCGATTTCCGACAGTTCCGATTTCCGAGTTCCGACGTTTTTTCCTTCCGAATTCCGATTTCCGGCGTTTTTTCCTTCCGAATTCCGATTTCCGGCGTTTTTTCCTTCCGATTTCCGAAAAAAATTTTGATTTCCGATTTCCGAGTTCCGACTTTTGAGCCATTTCCTATTTCCGACAGTTCCGATTCCCGACACCTCTGATTGTTCCGACCCACCTCTGTTATAAACTTTCCGGAAAACAATATAAAAAGGAAATAGATTGAATATAAATGAATATAAGAGTAAAAATGTATAACACTTAAATGCAAAACTGTATAAAATGAATAAAAGCAATTTTTAAAATTTAAAAATAAATTATTTAAAATTAAACAAAAATAAATAAAAATGGAAATTATTTCAGATTAAATTAATTAATTAAAAATAAATTTAGAAAATATTATTTTTAGCTATATACAAATACTGGCAATTTGTTGGCCTCAAATGGTTTTAAAAACCAAAAAAGAGTAAAATAATTATTTTTGTATTTCGAGAAAAAAATAAATAAAAATAAATAATAATTAAAAATAATAAAAAAATATAATTTTGGGACTGGGCCGTTTTGGCGCGGGGCCGTTTTGGCGCGAGCTTATAAGATAGCGAGTTGTTTATCAAAAATGATAAAATTTTGTAATAATAACTCTCGTACCTTTATCTAGGTTCTCCAAAAATTTCAGAATTTTTCAGCAAGAATTTCGGAAATTATGGCCAAAAATGTTGATTTTCTGAAAAATGCCTAATTTTTCGCGGTCTATCGACTATAACTTCAGAAATATTTTATGAAAAATTCTGAAATTTCTGGAGGAGGTAGTCAAGGATGTTAAAGAAATTTAAGAAAAATTTTAAGAATTTATGTATCGCCTGGGTACCAGTTTTTAGTTCTCGCGCCAAAACGGCCCGGCGCCAAAACGACCTCAACCCTATAATTTTTAGTGAAAAGTCATTTTATCTTCCAAAAACCTCCCTCAAAAAATATTTAATTAAACAAAGATTAGCTTAAAAAAATAATATTTTTCCAAAAATAATGTATTAATCTGCAAAAGTTAATAAGCAGAAAATTTTAATTGAATGAGAAAATAACGTTTTTTAAATCTTTACGTAGTAGTTTTAAGCTAAATATATTTAGGTAATTATTTTATAGAACAAAACTTTTCCGGAAAGTATAATTTTCCAAGAAAATAAATTCCAGAAAATTATTCCGGAAAAATTAGTTACTATAAATTAAGTGACAGAAAATAATGTTTCCGGATTTTTACGGAAAGAGAGGAAAAAGCTGCCTAACAAAGGAGAGCCTTTTGGGTGTCCGTGGGACTTCGGGATGAAATTTGGTACCCAGGTAGATCACACCCTTTCTATTGTAAAACTGGAAACCGTTTCCGCTGAATGGTACCGTGGACCGAGTTATAAGCCCCCAAAGTTTTCTTTTCCTTATATAAACAATTTCATTTCAGTTATAAATGTGTTCACCGGTGGTGCAGTGGTAGCGTTCTTGAATCGGTCCACGGTACCATTCAGCGGAAACGGTTTCCAGTTTTACAATAGAAAGAGTGTGATCTAACTGTGTACCAAATTTCATCCCGAAGTCCCACGGACACCCAAAAGGCTCTCCTTTGTAAGTGATACCCTACCCCCAACTTATTAGAGATTACTTTTTAGTCTATTTTAAGGTGAGGTGACTATTTTAAAATTAATGTTTTGAATTTACTTTTTTTAAAGATAAAATGACTTATCAACTAATAATTTAAATAAAAAAGCTAATTTAAAAATTAAAAAAATAAAAATTAAAAAAAAATAATTTAAGAAAATGCCCTAAGAAATGAATAAAATAAATTAATTATAAAAATTAAAATAAATTAATTTTAATCAACAAGTTTTGTACCTCCACCAATGCCTACATTTTTATTAGTAAAGAGCATTTCACTAAGGAACACTGGAATATTTTGAATTTCCGGTGATTGATTGAGTCTGGAACGAAGACGTTCTACACATTTAGAAGCTAATTGACTGAAAAAAATTTTTTTAAATAATTTTAAAAAAATTAAAAATTTTGGAATAAAAATAAATTTAACAAAAAAAGAGACAGTGAAAGGATAGAGGAATATTCTTGCTTGAATTATTTTCCTACCTTCCGGAAGGATTTATTAATGGGTTGGGGTCATTAGGGCGCGGGACCATTAGGGCGCCAGCACTAGAAACTGACACTTTCGAAACCGAAATTTATGAAAATTTTCTCAAATTTCTTTAACATCCTTGACTACCTCCTCCAGAAATTTCAGAATTTTTCATCGAATATTTCCGAAGTTATAGTCGATAGACCGCGAAAAATTAGGGTTTTTTCGGAAAATCAAAACTTTTCTGGCCACAATTTCCGAAATTCTTGATCAAAAATTCTGAAATTTTTGGAGAACGTAGATAAAGGCATGAGAGTTATTATTGCAAAATTTTATCTTTTTTGATAAGTAACTCACTGTTTTATAAGCTCGCGCCCTAATGGCCCAGTCCCCGGTATTCCTGCTTGTTTAATTATTTTCCAACCTTCCGGAAGGATTTATTAATAACTTACCGGAAGGTGGTTAATTAAACTTTCAGGAAAACGAAGCTACATTCAATATTCCGGAAAATATTCTTTACTGCTTTAGGTTTCTACATTTTTCCGGAAAGATGTAATACAACAATTCCAACTTACCCGAAGGTAATATTCAATATTCCGGAAAATATATACAACTAATTCCGATTATTTACAATTTTCCGGAAATATTATATCAAACATTCCAAAAAATAAACTTAAATATTTAAACTTTCCTAAAGGTTTGAAAATATTCAGAGAGTATATATTAAACTTGTTGGGTATCCTTTTTTCCGGAAATATATAAAATATTGGGTTCAGCCCTAGTAGGCGCGCGGCCAAGTAGGCGCAAAGCCGTAACTTGCTTCAAGATTTCCGAATCCTTCATAATTTAGTTTAAACGATTCCTCTTATCGAGTTAAAGAGATTGATACCAAAATTGTTAAGGTTCAGATAATTTCCAGGGAGTTATGGCTTTGCGCCTACTTGGCCGCGCGCCTACTTGGGCGTGTCCCAGAAATATTACCCCTAAACAGTCTTTAAAATTTCTAAAAAATTAATTCACCTAAATTTGTGGAGAGAATCTGACTTGGCTATAGATGGATTGCCGGAATAGCTCCGAAGATGAAGCCAACTATGAAGTACTTGATCATGCATTTGAACTACTTTATCATATTGACTGACGATATTAGGGGGATCGTTTGGTGCTAGATTTAAAATAAATTTATATTTTATCGTTATTTTATTTTTAATATTTATTTGTTTAATATTCCGGAAAATATGAACGAATAATTCTGGAAGGATCTATTCACAGCTTCCGGAAAGATTAAATTAGAAATAGTGTAAGGATCAAAGGTGTAATCCTTGAGAAACTACTGAAAACTTTGTAAAGCTTAAAGGCGTAATTCTTGGGAAAGTGATAGAAACCCCGCCTAGAGAGAAGGTGCATATAAGCTAAAGGAAAATAAGCAAAAACAGCTTAGTTGATGTTCATTCCAACTTAGTTTTTCATTAATCAATGGCCTAGTGTTCGGTCAACTATAAGCCTGACCAAGTTGGTTAAACAATAATCATTCACCCCGCTCGCTTACACTACCTTTGGGTATTCTATTCAATTCTATTATATTCACCGCACGCATATTCAACATCTCTCTTAATTAGAGCTGGCCCCTCTAATTAAAATTAACTATAGGTACATATATATTAAATTTTGAAGGAATTTTAATCAAAATTGTTTAAATTTTTTGAATTGTTTTAATTTACCTCGATAAAAACAAACATCCAAAAGGGTAATATATTTGAAGGCAACATAATCAGCCTTTCCAAATTGGTAATTACGTAATTGCTGAAAACAAAAAAATCTCTCAAAAAAATCTCTCAAAAAATCAAGGAAAGTTTTTAACCCTCAGAAAAAATTTTAAAATAAAATTTAAATAAAATACCTGTAAAATAGCATTCCACTCGTTAAACAACTCATTGCATCCTAGAAGGGCAAGTGTGTGAGTATCAATACTTCTACAAAATTTAAATTGATAAATAAAATTACCCCATAATTTTAATTACCCCATATTTCCATCTGACAGAGGAAAATTAATTTTGATGGATAATTCTCCTTTTAATAAAGCATAGGCAAAGTCTATCAAATGTAAAGGAGCCCAAGCATTGAGAAATTGCATAGAACGACAGTTCTCCTATAAAGAGGTTGAAATAAAAAGAATAGGAATATATTTTTAACATTCCGGAAGAATATATTAAACTTTCCGGAAGAATATATTAAACTTTCCGGAAGAATATATTAAACTTTCCGGAAGAATATATTAAACATTCCGGAAGAATATATTAAACTTTCCGGAAGAATATATTAAACTTTCCGGAAGAATATATTAAACTTTCCGGAAGAATATATTAAACTTTCCGGAAGAATATATTAAACTTTCCGGAAGAATATATTAAACTTTCCGGAAGAATATATTAAACATTCCGGAAGAATAGATTAAACTTTCCGGAAGAATATATTAAACTTTCCGGAAAAATATAGTAAACTTTCCGGAAGAATATATTAAACTTTCCGGAAGAATATATTCAACTTTCCGGAAGAATATATTAAACATTCCGGAAGAATAGATTAAACTTTCCGGAAGAATATATTAAACTTTCCGGAAAAATATAGTAAACTTTCCGGAAGAATATATTAAACTTTCCGGAAGAATATATTAAACATTCCGGGAGAATATAATAAACTTTCCTGAAGAATATATTAAACTTTCCGGAAGAATATAATAAACTTTCCGGGAGAATATATTAAACTTTCCGGAAGAATATAATAAACTTTCCGGGAGAATATAATAAACTTTCCTGAAGAATATATTAAACTTTCCGGAAGAATATAATAAACTTTCCGGAAGAATATATTAAACTTTCCGGAAGAATATAATAAACTTTCCGGGAGAATATAATAAACTTTCCTGAAGAATATATTAAACTTTCCGGAAGAGTATATTAAACTTTCCGGAAGAATATAATAAACTTTCCGGGAGAATATATTAAACTTTCCGGGAGAATATAATAAACTTTCCGGGAGAATATAATAAACTTTCCGGGAGAATATATTAAACTTTCCGGAAGAATATAATAAACTTTCCGGAAGAATATATTAAGCTTTCCGGAAGAATATATAAAACTTTCCGGAAGAATATAATAAACTTTCCGGAAGAATATAATAAACTTTCCGGAAGAATATATTAAACTTTCCGGAAGAATATAATAAACTTTCCGGGAGAATATAATAAACTTTCCTGAAGAATATATTAAACTTTCCGGAAGAATATAATAAACTTTCCGGAAGAATATATTAAACTTTCCGGAAGAATATAATAAACTTTCCGGGAGAATATAATAAACTTTCCTGAAGAATATATTAAACTTTCCGGAAGAGTATATTAAACTTTCCGGAAGAATATAATAAACTTTCCTGAAGAATATATTAAACTTTCCGGAAGAATATATTAAACTTTCCGGAAGAATATATTAAACTTTCCGGAAGAATATATTAAACTTTCCGGAAGAATATATTAAACTTTACGGTAGAATATATTAAACTTTCCGGAAGAATATATTAAACCTTCCGGAAGATTATATTAAACTTTCCGGAAGAATATATTAAACTTTCCGGAAGATTATATTAAACTTTCCGGAAGAATATATTAAACCTTCCGGAAGATTATATTAAACTTTCCGGAAGAATATATTAAACTTTCCGGAAGATTATATTAAACTTTCTGGAAGAATATATTAAACTTTCCGGAAGATTATATTAAACTTTCCGTAAGAAAGAATATATTAAACTTTCCGGAAGAATATAATAAACTTTCCGCTAGAATATATTAAACTTTCCGGAAGAATATATTAAACTTTCCGGAAGAATATAATAAACTTTCCGGAAGAATATATTAAACTTTCCGGAAGAATATATTAAACCTTCCGGAAGATTATATTAAACTTTCCGGAAGAATATATTAAACTTTCCGGAAGAATATATTAAACTTTCCGGAAGAATATATTAAACTTTCCGATTATCTTTCAAAGGAATTTCCGGAAAGAATATACTTGCAACTTTACGGACATCGAAAATTGAACTTCAAGACTAACCGGAAGGATTATATTATATTAAAATATACATTTAAGCCTTTGAAAAGTTCGTCGACTTTAGCCCAAAGAATATTAGTATCTAAATGTTTTGTAATCACTTGCAGACAAAAATCAAGTGAAGAATTGTAGGTTTCACCACAAGTTCGAATCGACTGTAGAGTTATTAGAACAGGCCTTTAAAAATTATTTTTTTATTAAAATAATTCCTAGTCAAACAAGACCGTTCAAGTTGAGGCGACAAACAAAGCTCTTCAATAAGTAGCCGTCCACCACCACTAGTAACCTCCCCATTTCCGTTTAAATTAGAAAAGGATGTTTGTTGTTGCTGCTGGTGATGGTTACCATAAAAAACACCTTCGATGGGAGGCATTTGGCAAAGAGGTAATAATTGTTGTTGATGTTCTGAAGAAGATTGGTGGTGGGGATTAGTTGTTAAGGGGCCTCCGGAATGTAGAATGCCGTGATGGTGAGGGAGTAAATAGGGTTGTAAAGGTGTTGTTACGTGTAATGATGTTCTGTAGGTTCAAAAGGGAAAATATTAGTAGAAGGAGAAAATAATTCCTAGCTATCCGGAAGTATTTATTTGTAGCAGGGATTACACGGTCACTTGTTGCCGAATTTAGGGACTGGACCGTTCTGGCGCGGGGCCGTTTTGGCGCGAGCTTATAAGATAGACAGTTTGTTATCAAAAATGATAAAATTTTACAATAATAACTCTCGTACCTTTATCTATGTTCTCCAAAAATTTCAGAATTTTTGAGCAAGAATTTTTGAAATTATGGCCAAAAATGTCTTTTTTCTGAAAAATGGCTAATTTTTTCTGGTTATCGACTAAAACTTCAGAAATATTTTATGAAAAATTTTGAAATTTCTGGAGGAGGTAGTCAAGGATGTTAAAGAAATTTGAGAAAAATTTTATAAATTTAGGTCTCGCCTAAGTGCCACTTTTTTGTTCTCGCGCCAAAACAGCCCGGCGCCAAAACGACCTCAACCCGTATCGTTTTGCTCAACTCTAGGCAAAACACAAAAAAAGGCTTTAATTAGGAGTAGTCTCCCGTAAATATTCCAAATTTTATTTATTTCAAATTCAAAAAAAAGAAAATTACGTCATATGCAGAGTAGGCGTTGTGATTGGCATAATAGGCGAGTATCCAACTGCTGAAGACTGATGATACATTGATGGGTGTAAAGGAGCTGTTGCATGTATCGCAGCTGAAGGAATCTCATTTTTGACATTTACAAGGGGTAATTGGTGGTGAATATTAGAGGCATATTTGTTTGAGGATGAAGGGGAAAATGATGAAGATGAGGGGATGGGCAAGGGAGGGGAATTTAGTCCTGAGCTGCTTACGCCGCTGCTGCTGGCACTAGAACTTGGGCCGAGGCTGTAAATAAAAGGAATAGTTAAAATTTTATGGAAGCCTCGATAAAAACAGAGAAATTGAACTTTCCGGAACAATTTCCGGAAAAACTTTGCAAAATTAAAGGTTTAATGAAACTGAAATCCAACGTTTACTGCAAACTTTAAGTTTCCGGAAACAATTAAAATAACGGAAAATTTTAATAAAGTTTAATGCTTAAAGCTTAAATATTAGAACTTTAGAATTTAAGAAAAGTCTAGGTGTTTGTAATTCTCTAAAAAGTATGAGTTTAAACTGAAACTTAGATATTATGGAAACACTTATAAAACATATCGTAAGCCTTAAAATATTAAAATACACTCTGTTCCAAAAGTATATGCCCACCTATATTTTTAGCTTTATCTATGTGATTTCGCTATAGATTTTTTTTAAATTTTTTATAATTAAATACCATGACATTTAGAAACAAAATACAAAAAAATTTCAGAAATATGCGTTTTTGTTTTTTGTATAGAGATCAAAATCAAATATTAAGTGTTCCAAAAGTATATGGAACACTTAATACCCCCGGTTTTCCGTTGATTTTTGGGCTTCAAGATCTCGATGATGGGAGTACACCGGAACTTCATTTCTTTTGTATTTCTTATCTACATCGATAGATATGTTCACAGAAATTTTTGTGAATTTTTCACACTATTAAAAACCTATAAAACAAAGGTGGGCATATACTTTTGGAACACTTAATATTTGATTTTGATCTCTATACAAAAAACAAAAACGCATATTTCTGAAATTTTTTTGTATTTTGTTTCTAAATGTCATGGTATTTAATTATAAAAAATTTAAAAAAAATCTATAGCGAAATCACATAGATAAAGCTAAAAATATAGGTGGGCATATACTTTTGGAACAGAGTGTATATGCTTTACATGAATATACAACCCAATTAAAAACCAGTTGGGAGTGTTATAAAATTGTAAAGTTGTAAGGTTGTCAGGTAGTTGGAAATCTTCAGATATCAGGATTCGATATCCGAACCGAAAATTTCCGGATATGCGGTCTTTTCGGAAACAAATACGTTAACTTAGTGTGTAAAAGTATCAAGATCGATACCAAATAAAATCTTCTTTCTCGAACAATCTCGATCAAAATGACCGAGATTTAGTTTGGGATCTCGTCTAGGTCCGGGATCTAGATCAACACTCAATATATATTATTCTAATGCCAACACTATTTATATATTACCTGTTACCGCCCACATTGTGTACAACAGCTACAGAAGGTGGAATGTTGTTTTTATTGTTTGAGACAGATGAATGTTGTTGTAAATGTGTGTGAGCATTGTGAGCGGAGGTTAGGGGCTAAACAAAGAAATGAAATTTTTTTACATGTTTTGTTGTAAAATTAAAAAAATTAGTTGAAGGCCATCAAAAGTATTTAATATTTTTTTTTTATTTTTTAATTCCTTTGTTTGTGTATGGGTGGTTTTAGGTATTTTTTAATGACCTTGAAAGTTTAAACTGACTAGAAGATCAGATAATTACTAGTCTAATAACTCATGAATATAAAGTAGAAATTCGTAGTCGGACCAACTATACTATATTATACCATATACATGATAAACCTCATGTCAGGTACGGTTACTTAGGATAAAAAATGATAATTACAAAAGGTGAGGGAAAATCTCCCGTGATTTTGTCGCTTTATATTTCTGCTACGGTTAATAAATAACGCAAAAAAACACAAAAAATCAGAGAAAAAGATGCCGGCATCTTTTCGCATTTGTGATTACTTGAGCTTTATATGTAACCCACATAAACCCGTCTCCATCTACAATGTTATCGTTCACTAGGCCAAGACTTGTCTCAATCCGAAAACGATACGAAGACTAATTTAACAGACTGGTAACCCTACTCGACATATATCATACTTGTAGCACAAGCTACATTTTTACAGATTTGGTTTACTATTTAGTGATAGTAGGGTAAAACTAATAGTTAAGTGGATTTCGTTACCAGATAGTGATTTCTCGGGACAAAGAGATTATCTTATACTGTGATACGATTATATATAAAAAATAAATATTCCTACATATAAGTGGAACGGCAATGGATTCATCATCATCGGAGCTATAGATGTTGAAGCTTCATGATTCTCCTCCAAAGGTTGGATTGAATTGCCAAGAAGCATAGCAAGGCCTCCATTGTTATCTACGTTAGATAAATGTGTTGAGGCAGTAGATGAACCAACTTTTAAGGAATAAATAAACATTGTTTTAGGCAAATACATATAATAAAGGAAGAAAGGGAACTATATGAGGACGGGAATAACTATTAGAAAGTTACTTATGAATTTCATTGTGAGAACGATTATACTTAAAATTTTATTGTGAGAATTCGGATGCTTGAATTCAGAATTCATGGATGCTCTATTCATATGCTCTATTCACTTAAGCTCTACTCATGCTATTCATAGATCCGCAATTTTCTGAATCCGCAATTTTCTGAACCATTTTCGAGAAAAACTCCTCGCGTACTTTCCAATTTCTTCAATTGGATTTTCAATTGCCAATATTTATCTATGCCAGACTTTATCACCAAAATATGCAAATGAATATCTCTATGCACGATTCGATCTATTTGTTTGCGTGAAATACTAGAACAAGTAATGATTCGTGAGTCGGGTTTCGTGAAAAATTATCGTCAGCTTGCACTTCCCTAAGTGCAAGCTGGGAGACTAACCACTAAAACAAAGAGGCGGTTTAATAAAATTTTAATAATATTTTATTTCAACTAACAAATTCCATTAGCTGAGGAATTTGTTGAGGAAGTTGAGGAAAGTGTTGGTGATTGAAGATAAACATCAAAACCGGTCATTGTAGAAGAACAGTGTTGGTGGGATGTTATGTTCGAGTTCATTTGTTCTTGCTGTTTTGGCAAACCTCCTAAATATGCGGCACTCGAATATTTTGAAGTAACCTGTTGTTGTTGGTGGATTCTGAAAAATTTAAGTGAATAGATTAGCAGATTACTCTAATACACGCACAATACTATATCAACCTCTGTTTTTTTCAACTTGGGTAGCCATTTGGGAGAGGGGGAGAGGAGGGGAAGAAAATATCCAAGAAACACTTAGATGGAACATCTGTATTTGTAAAAACGGAAGGCAAACAAAAGGTGTTACGACAATTGCGGATACGCACGTCCGGATGCGACAATTACGGACGGCAAATGCGGAAGACAATTCCGGATTTGACAATTGCGGATTAAAAATTTTTTTTTTAATTTTAAAAATGATTGAAATCATATCCCGTTTTTTAGTCCCGGTTGTCAGTTTCAGACTTCTGACGGCTTCCAAATCATTTTAAGACTAATGTGGCACTGAAAACTTTAAAAAAATCTTAAATTTTTTAAAAATTTTATATCCGAAATTGTCTCATCCGCAATTATCGTCCGCAATTGTCTCATCCGCAATTGTTGTACCGCCAAATAAAACAGAAGTACCCAATTAATTTTTATTTTTTTTCACACTCAATTAAAAATTTGCATTATTCCCAAAATTTAGAAAACATAAAAAACAAAAAATATTTGCAAATATATTTAAATATTTTATGTGAAAAGGATTAGCTTAAGTGTATAGCGGCGGCATTGTTTTTGCAATGATATTATTTTTAAATATTTCCCGCATTTTTAGACTTTTTTGTCACGGGTTGAGCAAAAAGTCGGGTCGGGTTTCGGATCGGGTTTTCAAAATTTTTTTCGGATCGGGTTTCGGGTTTCGGGTCGAAAAAAAGTCTGGGTATCTTCCCTTCTCAGCGCCGCAGGCGAAAATTTTCAGAATTTTGGAAGATCATTAAGCTAAAAATCTTCCCTTTTTCTCCGACGAGGGCGAAAATTTTGAGAAAACTCGGGTCGGGTTTCGGATCGGGGGTTTTAGAAAATTTCTCGGATCGGGTTTCGGGTTTCGGGTATCGGGTTTCGGGTAACCCGTGACATCCCTGATTAGTAGAGCGTGTTTTTTAGGTTCAAAAAATCGTGAAATAGGATCTTATTTAGGCCCAAATTTCCAAAATAGATCCGAAATAGGTTGAAAAAGGCCAAAAGTTGAAAAAGGCCAAACTAAATGTAGATATACCAAAATAAATATGTAGGTCCTAGGTCCGAAAAGGCCGAAATAGGTTTTTTAGGTTTTAATAACACGAAAAGTACGTTACGCTATGCGGTAAAACAGTGTTTTTTCGACTTATCTCATCACGGGCTGTTTGCAAATAATAATAATAATAATAATAATAATAATAATAATAATAATAATAATAATAATAATAATAATAATAATAATAATAATAATAATAATAATAATAATAATAATAATAATAATAATAATAATAATAATAATAATAATAATAATAATAATAATAATAATAATAATAATAATAATAATAATAATAATAATAATAATAATAATAATAATAATAATAATAATAATAATAATAATAATAATAATAATAATAATAATAATAATAATAATAATAATAATAATAATAATAATAATAATAATAATAATAATAATAATAATAATAATAATAATAATAATAATAATAATAATAATAATAATAATAATAATAATAATAATAATAATAATAATAATAATAATAATAATAATAATAATAATAATAATAATAATAATAATAATAATAATAATAATAATAATAATAATAATAATAATAATAATAATAATAATAATAATAATAATAATAATAATAATAATAATAATAATAATAATAATAATAATAATAATAATAATAATAATAATAATAATAATAATAATAATAATAATAATAATAATAATAATAATAATAATAATAATAATAATAATAATAATAATAATAATAATAATAATAATAATAATAATAATAATAATAATAATAATAATAATAATAATAATAATAATAATAATAATAATAATAATAATAATAATAATAATAATAATAATAATAATAATAATAATAATAATAATAATAATAATAATAATAATAATAATAATAATAATAATAATAATAATAATAATAATAATAATAATAATAATAATAATTTATCTGCCATTCAGGCGTTAAAAATAGGTAAAAACCTAAAAAACACGCTTTAGTTATTAATGCCCGATGCTAAATCCGTTCAGGACTATTTTTCCTATGTCTGGATCACAAAACCCGGGTAATTTTGAGATTACCGGATTTTTCCAGACAGATTGTTCCGGACAGAATCCGGTAAGTTCCGGTTCAACTCTAGTTCCAAATCCAAAATCAAGATCAGACATCTTTGCTAAACCAGATTTGGGATTTTGCCATTTTTCCTAATAATAGTAATAAATGGGAGCAGGCCAGTGTAGCGCGAGCCCAATGTACCGCGAAGCTATAACTTTGTTCAAAATTGTCGAATCCGTGGCGCCCTGGTATGATTCGATTCAGCTTCTCGAGCCGCATCGACCCATACCAGGGCGCCAGTGATTCGACAATTTTGAACAAAGTTATAGCTCCGCGGTACATTGGGCTCGCGGTACATCGGGGTGTACACGTAATAAAGCTTTTCCAAGTTGTAAACTTTCCGGAAAATTTTTTAACTTTCCGGAAAGTAAACAAATTTAACAAATTACCCCGAATTTCCATATGTTGAAGCAACCTCCCTTTTAGCTCTCTTTGCTTTTACCCCACCAGAAAAGGTTTCATTTGCATAAGGACTTGGGCGGGTTACTGTAGCTTCATTATTTGAATTATTGTTTTCATAGAAATTCAGACCATTAGCATAAATCATTAATTGTTGTTGGTGGGGATTTTGCGGGTTGTTAGTAGATGAACTACGTGTAGTGCTTTGCTGCAAGATTTTGGAACGTGCAGCTCTGTCCTGTTTGTAATAGACTCCTAGCTTGTTGCGACCTCCGCGCATTCGATCCTCACGTACGGCTAAATAGAGAATTTATATATTTTGGAATTTTTTATGGAATTTTTTATATTTTTTGGAATTTTTTTTACTATAATGAGAGGTACGTTAAAATATGAATTATCGCTTGGTAAGACCAACTAGGGAGCATTTTTTGAAATTGCAATTATTTTCTAGGATAAAGCACCACCCTTTAGAAACCCAGCCTGAAATAGATATGGTATATTAAATTAACGAGTATGAAAATTAGGAAAATCTATATAGGTCCGACAGTTATAAAGTCTGTATATTGAAGTAACGAGTATTTAAATTGGGAGATCGAGGTCCGACAGTATTGTCTCTCTTCATATAAGATAGGCCTCAATTAAGTGCGAACTTAAATTTTGTTCACTACCGTGTAGATGAGCTGCAGAAGCGAAAGATTATAACTTCATTATAAGATAAATTTTTGGCCTCAATGGGGAAATCGGCCTCAATGGGTTTTCGGCCTCAACGAAGAAATGTAAAAATCTTTAAGAATCGTTTTTCATCGTTTTTAAAAAAATTTTTAATTTTGTATATTTTATTTTTTTAAATAATAATTTTTTCCATTATTTTTCCCTCTCTTCTCCATTAAAAAATAATTTTTTTTTCAAACAATCCTCCCCTCTTTATTCCACTCAAATTCCAAAACTACCCATTTCAATTTTCATTATACTTTTTTGTTCATCCCTTAAATATACTTGGCGGAATGGTTTTTGTGTATTATACATGCCTTTCAATTTTTTTAGTGAAAGGATATGGCCGCTCGGATGCGCGCCCTCTAATTAGTTGAACAAGTAGGGGAGAGAATTCACACACAAATAATAATAAATAATAACCCTTCCCAAGTCTTTCTTCCACTCAAAAAAGAGCAGTCCAAAAGCTGGAACAAAAAAAGGGTTGAGAAGTAGGAAAATTATTAAATAAATGGAAAATAGAGTAGGAAATTGGAAATTAAGTTGAGAAAATAGGATCGAGACCAGGGTGGCCCTTTGACCCTATTTATAGAGGATTTTCCCTATTTTTGACCTTTTCGCTCTATCTTAGCCCTATTTTCTCATTTGCCATATTTTTGCCCTGTTTTTACTGTCTTGTAAAATTTCAAAAATTCTTCGGATTTTGTAAAAAAATAGTAAAATGTAGGATTTCTGACTTCCTGGCCTTCCAAAATCTTAAAATTTTCGCCTTATTTGAAATCTCAATTATGTTCAAGCTTCTAAAGATATGCCCTGATTTTTGCCCTATTTTTGGCCGATTTCACCCTATTTTTGCTCTATTTTGAGTGGCTGCGCCCCATTTTAGTGTTTTGAAAGGGGCCACCCTGATCGAGACTGGAAGATAGGCAGAACTCAGATGGATTCTTAAGGTTCTCCTTCCTCCTTGGACCAATTTTATTCGAGGAATCGGTCTCGATCTAGAAAATTTTGAAGACTACAGTATTTTCCAAATCCTTGAATAATTTTCACATCCGGACTGGGATAGTCCGAACTCGGATGGATATGATCATGTAGACCTGCTAGTTTTTCAGAAAATTGGGTTGAAGTAGAGTTGGACAAGACGAGAAGATACAGATACCAAGATTCTCGGCTTTTTTCCAATATCGGTCTCGGTTTTTCATTCTCGCTCTCTCTTATTCCACCGGTATAAATTATTATACTAATAATGAATAAATTATTTTTACACGTATTTTTTGACATAAAATAAAAATTTCTGTTAGTCTCGGTCAGTGTCGTTTCTCGGTATCGGTCTCGGCTTAAAATGATGGTATCGTCTCGGTATCGGGTTCTTGAGTATCGGTCAATCTCGGTCTTTGGCCGATACAGTTTCGTTTTGCCCAACTCTAGTTTTAAGAATCACTCCATACCAAACCTTCAGAATTAAAAAAATGGAACTTTAAAAGGTATTCCTTATAAGACTTCTTATCAAGCATTTTTTGCCTAGTCCAAATTCAACATAGAAATTTCATATGAAATTAGACTTATATTCCCTTACTTTAAAAAAATAAACAATTTCCTGCCCATCCCTCGTTTAATAATTTTTTTTATATATTTTACAATATATCCCTTCCATTTCGCCCCACTTGCGCCCTCTCTCCCCCTTTCACTAGTCCATTGTTCATGCAAAATGGCCGGTCACCAACTTTCACCTACACATAAATGGTACTTTTGTCAAGTAGAAAATTTTATAAAAATCACGGCTGAAATGAAAGGGTTAAAAAATTGAGTGAGAAAAGTAGAGATGATAATAGATAGGGATGAAAAAGTGGAAGAAAAAAAAAGTTTAAAAGCTTCCTTCCGCATGGCAATTAGAGCCAAGAGTTTTTTGTTTAGTTGCTTTGGCGGAATTTTATTTTTCGAGAAGTACGTACGAAAAAAATTCTGCCGCAAATATTAAAAGAAATTATTTTTGTGTAAAAAATAAAGGAAGAATTGTAAGAATAGGTAAATGCTCCGGAAAGATGAGAAACTTTTAAAAGGTTAATTGGTAAGAATAAATTTTTTAAATTGTTTCCGGAAAGTTTGTTAGGTAGATTAGTATTAGGTCGGTTCATAATTAGTGGCCGTTTTTTTTAGATTAAATTTTTATAGGTGTTATTGTACAAATATTCTTTTTTCTTATTAACCAACATAAAGATCTGAATCTACTCTTCATTTTAATACCAGATTTAGGTATATATGGGTGATATTCATAAAGATATGATTTATTGAACTTCACTACCTCGTAGTGAAATTCTCAAGCATATACACCATAAATTATAAATTACCAAAAATGGACACAAGAAGCAAAATATCTTAATGATCTAGTCAATGGGATCGTTGTCCATGCTAAACACCAAAGAATAGGGTTCAAACTTTACTAGGAAGGCCGTATGACTCTCAGAAACTGTAACCGTATTTATTCTACTATAACGACAGTCTCATAAAACGACATCCTAGAAGAGGGTTGAAAAATAAAACGACATGTCGTTATATTAGAATAAACACGGTATATTAATTCTTGAAATAATGTCCAAATTATATTCCGTAATATTTATTTAAATGGAAAAGTTTGCCGAAAATGAAATATAGGTATACAAAATTGTTAAGGAAGTTAATTTCCCTAAAATCGAGTATATCCAGAAGTTATTTCCAGAAGTTATTCAGAAAAAATCAGAATCCTTATTTAAATTTCAGGTAAATCTAATTCCTCCATTCTACACATAAGCCTAGTTTTAATTATTTTACATTCTTATACACACTATTCTTCTCCCCCACATTTCGCGCTCTGCAGGAGATAAATCTTTTTTTTAGTTGTTGACCTTTCCCTGCTTATCCGGCCGTAACAATAAATTGTAGCAACCTTTTCATTTGTAAATTTCCCAAATAATTTATTTTATTTTTATTTCCCACCTCGCTTTTAATTTAAATTTTTTTTTATTTCTTTTCTTTTGTTTTCTTCAAGTATTTTTATGTATTGTCAATCATTTTCAATCTTTTTTTGTGAAACAATGAAAAATAAATTGGAATGAATGGAATAAAAATATTTGTAAAAATAACCTAGAATAGAGAGAAAATTGGTTTACAAATAGATTAGGTAAAGAATAAATTATAATCGAGAGAGGGAGAAAGTTGTACAGTATTGAAGAGAAAAACATGAGAATGGTATGTAAAGTAGAGACCGGCGCGGGACGGGATCCCGACGGGATTTTCCGGGATCCCGATCCCGAACTCCCGGATTTTTTTGATTTTCGGGATCAACCGGGATCCGGGATTTTTTCGTGATTTATCCCTCGGGATCCCATCCCGGCATTGGTCAAGAAAAAAATCCCGACTCGGGATCCAGGAAGTGCTATTTTGCCGGTCTCTAATGTAAAGACAGTGGGAGGGAGGGATGATCTCAGGTTATTCGAAACCCGAACTTTTCTCAGGTATCCTATATTTTCTAGGTAAATTTCTTTCATAAAAGGAAGAAGGATGAATTATTAACCTTTCAAAATTCTCAAACCTTTTACCTGGGGTCTGAAAAAATTTGAGGGATATCGAGGATTTGACGGGATTATAGGGATTTAGGCTAAATTCAAATTCCTAACTCCCCAACCCAAAATTTTTCCAATCAAAAACTCAATTCTAAAAAACTTTTGAAACCCTGTCAAGAACATTTTTTCCATCCAACACGTGACATACCTGATAGGAAAGTGGGGTAATTATTTGAGGGAGGGCAATTAATACAGGTTATACGGTAGGTAAGTAGAAAATTTGCTAGTCGGCAAAAAATTAATTTAAAAAAAAAAAACAAAAATTAATTTTTGTTGGCCCACTAATTAGTTTATACATAGAAACGAAATAAGATACTTAGAAAAAAGATAAAAGACTTCCAGAAAAGAAAATTGAGAGTCTCTACTATGCGGCAAAAGGAACAATTGAAGAATAATAATACACCTAGTCTACAAATAATTATTTTGTGAAAACAAAAATATTTTTTTTCAAATAAATTGGGTAAATAATTTAGAAATAAAGGAAATAATTACACAATATTTCCTTTAAAATAATCATCCCTCAGATCAGGTTTTGTATCGAAAAAACAACGGCTCTTGTCCAGTTTAAGCGTCCAATCCCACCTTTATACGTCCAATCCCACCTTTATACGTCCAATCCCACCTTTATACGTCCAATCCCACCTTTATACGTCCAAACACATTTTTATGCGTCCAATGGAAAGTCTACGCGTCCAATAATATTTTATACGTCCAATCA